GATAGATGTCTCCACTCTCCTGATCTCCACCTTCCCTCCAACACAGATCCCAGAGAGTAACAATGTCCTATTCCTGTGTGTATCCACCTGGTAACTTGGCAGGACCATCTCAGTCTAATGCCATGTGGACATTAGAGAATTCTGTCGGAAGGAAGGATGAACACAGTGGTTGCATCAGTGGAGACAGGAAAAGTCTGTTCCTGATCCCCCACTGTCTCCTAGCAGAGCCAGTCTCCAAGGGAGTGGAGGGACTTAGATTCTTGCTGATGACAGTAGGGATTATCACAGACAGCAGAGCACTCTTGTTCTGATGGTGACTGGTGATGGCAGTGGCCCTCATTCCTCATCAGATATTCATAAAACTGAGTACAGAGGTCCCTGTGCACCTCGTTCCTCCCTTAGCACAGCAGCCCTGACTCTGGCTTTCGGGAACAGCTCCAGAAGCAGCCTTGCTTCAGAGCGCCTTCTGCCTTCAGCCACTGCCAACCTTGTAGTTGGGAAACTGGCCCTATATCATGGGGTTAAAGAGATTTGGAAACGGTAGGTGAGGCTGGCTGGATGACACCCATGTGCTGAGATACAGCCGTCCCTGACTAGGATAGAGGTGCTGGGCATCACCTTATGAAGCAGCGTGGGACAGCAGCCAAGGGTTCGGTTCTTGGTAGGCACCGTGCAAAGACCTTTCACTTTTCTGCTCAGACTTTCTGAAAGATGACAGCATCCCCATTTGCAGAGAACATAAGGTCCAAGGACTTTGCCAAGGTATCTGGAAAGAAAGGGAAAGGAGGTAGAGAGTGGACGGGTGGGCCTTGTCCAGTGCCTTTCTATACACATTACCCCACCAGGACTGTGTCACCAAGGAACACAAGTAACCAGAGCATTTACAAAGTGAAGACCCTATGTGCCAGAGTAAAATGATTCTTCTAGAATGATCACGGTGTCCCTTCACTACCTCAGGGGACCAAGGCCTGGATGATTCCTTCCACTCTATCTCAAGTGCATTTAAATGTCAATTAAATTTGAAACATCTACATTTGTCAGCACTTCATTTCGGGCCAGCGTGACGTGCGGCTGATTTGTCCATGCTATGTGACACATAAAAAACTCTCGAGATGTAGATCTTCCTCATTAAAAATAAAGCAGCGCGATCCTGGAGCAGCAGAGAGCACAGAGCACCTCCCAGCTTCCTGATGCCACGTCTCTGACATGGTATTTAAAAAGGAACAGCCTCGCCTGTCACCACTGTCACACGCACACACTAACCAGCGACACGTTAAACCAAACATTAGAAAGGGCTCCGGATCATCTGCAGGGAACTCCACTGCAGGTGGACAAGTCAGGGCAACAGGATGATAGGCCTGAGCCATGATGGACAGAGCCTTTCTCTTTCGCTGTGACATCACAGCCCTTGCTGGGTAGCCAAGTTCAGCGAGGCCTGCCTTTTCCCAGACAGCCCCTTTGTGTGGAATAAAATACAGGCAAATGGTGGGGGGCAGACTGCAGGGTAGTAGCTGAATTGGGTTAATGAGGGAAGAGGTACATTTTTTTATATTCTGCCTTAAGCTAATAAAAAATTTAAACCTGGACATTTTCGATGGTTCATCCTTTATCCCTGACAAATATCTGACTGTATCTTTCATGGGAGAACATGAGCAGCTGAATTTAAATAAGTTTATTTTGAAACCTCACCTTTCATTAAAAGTGGAAGGGGAAACCCCCTGCCTCTCATTCCATTGTTTCAGCCCCAGGAAACAGGTGGCAGGACCTTGTGGTGTTTAGAGACCAGCCAACATAGAATCCATTCCAGCACTGCCCTCAGAGCTGTGTGATGCCTTGCAAAGTTCTCCACTTCTCTGAGCTTTGGCTCCTTTGTCATGAAGAATTAGTGAGAAACTGTATGGACAGCATGTGAGTTCTTTTCTGAGTCATCACCATCCTTATGGCATGGACATGACAACACTCTGATTGACCAAATCACATGGCACGTTTCATTTCACTGCCCTGTCATGATGTGTCATGAACACCTGAGCCTGGCCTGGCCAGCAGAGTCAGCTAGAGGAAGCCAGCTTGTAGACTGAACAGTAGAGCTCCCTCTCCTGCTTCCTGCACTCACAGCATGTGGGAGATCCTGAGGGCCAAAGGTGGCCCTCGCTGCAGGACTTTAATGACACCAAAGCTCTTCCAGCACAAAGACTCAAAGCCCTCTGGGAATGTGACAGACTTAGTGACTGTCACCCACCATGTGATCTGTGCCAGGAAAGGGGCCCACACTGTATGTGGGTGTCACCCAGCACTCCCAGGTAGGGGCATATATTGTCTTGTGTGTATCCACAGTCCGTGCTGTGGTTCTCAGGACAACCTGAGCTAGGGCCCCTGGCTCCAGTCACTTCCTGACTTGGTTATCTGCTGACTTCTCTGTGCTTCATCAATAGTCTCCAGTGCCCAGCTGCCACTAGCTCTGCTTAAACACAGGCAAGAAGTGCCCCTGGAGTAGGTAGGTGCTCAGATAAATGGGGAGATGACTAGACAGATGGACTCCATCAAGTTAGGATGATGGTCCTGCACGTTAGGGTGCTGTGCTCAGAGACACTTCAAGTAATGGCAGGCTACCTCCAGCAGCTCAGACCACAGCACTGCCTGTCCAGGGCCTGTGGTGTTGACTGGATTCTGCCTTGAGGCTTCTGCTCTTGCTCCTGTATATCCTGTGTCTAAGCATCTCAGAGGCAGGTAGAGAATCCAAAGAGGAGGCACGTCTATTAGAGCCTTGAAGTGATGAAAAGACTTGTGTGGTGTGTTAGATGCTCTGGGGGAAGAGGAGGGGAATCCCCAGCACCCAAGCCCTCATTCCTTCATCCCACTAATGTGGGCCCCAGAAGAAGGAAAAGCTGCAATGGTCAAGCCCCTGGCCTCGAGCTCAGTCAGGAACAGAATTCCAGATTAACTGGAATCCATGAAGCACCAAGACCCACAGTCAGGGAGAACTGGGAAAGCCAGATCCTTTCTAGGGGGTGACATTTTTCAAGATGGAAGAGCAGTCAGTGTGCTAAGGATACACAGGCAAGAGCTGAGAGGCAGAGGGTGTCTGTCAAGAGATGGTTCTTCAGTTGAAGTGCCAGGGGGGGATGGAAAGGGGCCTCAGGGCTTGGCCCTGCAACCCACCCATACCCAGCATGCACATCAAGCCACCCAGAGTGGAGTGAAAACACTCGGCTTCCTGCCCCACACCAGTTAAAAGAAAGCAGGGGCAGTAGAGGGGAGAGCAGGTTCCTCGGGCGTCTGAGCATTTCTCCTCACTCGTTCTGCAATGGATTAACTTGTCCCTTCTACTTAGCCTCGTTGCCTATGAGAGCAGCAGGGACCTAGTTTTGTGCCAGGCCAGATGAGACACGTTTCATCATGCAGAACTATATGCCATCAGCATCCTTCCACTGCCGGTCCTCCTCCAGTTGTAGAAGACAACTGGATGGCTCTGGAAGGCTCTAGGAATGGGGATCACAACACTGGCCACCCCAGGGCCCTCCCCAGCCTCCTGTTCAGACTTTTGTATACTTGTTTCAAATGTGTTGCCCTTCCCTAAATAAAACCTGAAAGGAATTCCAATAGGGAAGTGCAGGAAGGCTGCTCCTGAGAGCAGGTGGTCCTGCCTAATACTCTGTATCTCTTCACTGTCTCCTCAAAACTTTACTGTTCCCTCTCGGGTCTCCTCACAGTGACCCAGCCATTGACAGAGGCAGAGGCATTCATGGTGAGGCCAGGATTTGAACCTGCCTCAGTTGGGGCTCTCCTCTCCTGGGCCTGTGACCTCTCATGGGCACTGCTGGTCAGTATCTAATTGGTAGGAGCCAGGTGTGGACTCTCTGGGCTGTGTGTGTGTTTGTTTATAGCGCTAGAGCACACAGGTGGCTGACAAGGGAGATATATTTTTTATAACAATGAATATTTAATTTCCACATCACAGATGAAAAAGACTCTCTGAAGAAGCATCCGAGGGAGACTCCAGAGAGGGCAGCTCATCAGAGAAGAGTCTTCTCAGGGGCTGCTTCCACATAGCTCACTTTTCCCTTAACTTTCCCCCCTTGGTTACTGAAGTAGAGATATGCATGCTGTAGAAAAAGAAGCAGAAGGTGGGGTCACCCACAATCCCACTAGCCATTGCTGGCACGTGAGCACTTGATTTTCTAGTCTTTCTCTTGTGCAGTTTTCCACAAGTAGATAAGGGATGCAGTATCCTTGGAACCCGGTCTGCATGCCAAAATCCAGGATGCTCATGCCTGTTCTGTGAAATGGTATGGTGTTTGCAAAGAGCCCATACACACCCTCCTGTACACTGTAAACTATCTCTAGGTTACATTTTTATATATTGAGCTGTGTGGGGAAGAATGTGATGACAGTACAGACTGCACATGCTCAGTACAGATTCAATTTTTTCCAAGCATTTTCTTTGTTTGTTTTGTTTTTCAAGACTAGGTTTCTCTGTGTGGCTTTGGCTGTTCTGGAACTTGCTCTGTAAACCAGGCTGGCCTGAAACTCACAGAGATCCACCTGCCTCTGCCTACCAGTGCTGGGATTAAAGGCGTTCGCCACCACACCCACACATTTTTAACTCACAGCTGATTGGATCTGCAGAGATGGAGCCTACAGGTGTGGGGAACCCAGTCATAAAAATAGCAATCATGTCATGCTTTTCAATTCGCTTTGTTAGCATTATATGTGATGGGAAGAGAGCTTTCAGCCAGCAGTACCTAGCTCTGCTTGCTGGAAGTGTTTAGTGCTTTAAACAGGAAGCAGTGAATGTTCATTGTTAATTTAGGGTTAGCCTGCTGGAAGTGGGTAACCAGGTCAGAAGTTCTGGGTGAGCGTTCAAAGCCCTCAACACACATGGCAAACACAGCTTCCTCTCAACTTAAAGGCAGCCTCCTTACCCCAGTGGATGCCGTGGGGTCTTCTCACTCTGTGCTCTCATGGTACCCTAACTGTCTCTTCTTTTCTCTCTTGTCCAGCTTGGTAAAGCCCTTGCGACACTATGCTGTCTTCCTCTCTGAAGACTCCTCTGATGAGGAATGCCGACGGGAAGAGGCCCCCAGCACTGGCTTCACTGAAAGCCTTTTCTTCTCTGCTCCCTTTGAATGGTCTCTCTTCCTCTTTCCAGCTCCTTGGGCTCAGCCTGGTGACTCTTTGGGTGGAGTGGGGAGCATGGGGGACTGGGGCTGCTTGCTGCCATGGGGAGAAAAGTTCCTGGGTGCCAACTTGCAGGGTGGATGCCATGTCTACAGGCCTCCTCTCAGGCTCCTATTGTGCCAGCCCCACAGGGCTATGACAGCAAAGGTGTCAGGTGAGACTGAAGCACTGATCTCCATTCCTTACAAGGGGAAATGATTCAGTCAGTGGACTGCTGACCACAGTAAGCCTGACTCCTGACCCTCCTTTTCTCAGTGCATCTTAGAAAGCCATGGAGATAGGAAGGCAGATGTTAAGTAAAAGGCCATGAGACATATGTTAACAGCAGCATATCAGCCGTGTATGGTGATGCACATCTGTAGTCTCAGCTGAGGTAGAAGGACTGTGAGTTGAGGCTAGCCTGGGCTTCATAGCAAATTCCAGGCTAGTCTGAGCTATATTATATACATGAGCCTTTCTAAATAAATGTATGTATGTATGTATGTATGTATGTATGTATGTATGTGTATGCATGCATGCATGCACACACCTACACACATGTTATGGTCTACCTGGGTTGACTGATTTATTTATTTATTTATTTATTTATTTATTTCCTTCCTTCCTTCCTTCTTCCTTTTTTCCTGAGACAGGGTTTCTCCTGGCTGTCCTGGAGCTTACTCTCTAAACCAGCCTGGCCTCAAACTCAGAGATCCGCCTGCCTCTGCCTCCTGAGTGCTGGATTTAAAGGCATACACCACCACTACCCAACCCTACCTGAGTTTCTTAAAAGTATTTTCCTCTTAATTATTTTATAACGTAAGCAACATACAAATTCCAAACATCATTTTTTTTTTCAAGGAAAAGAAGGCTTACCTTACATACAAATGGACTTCCCAGGAGCCTCAGGGATGTGCCCACAACCTACTAGAGTGCCAGCTGCTGGCTACATCACAGTCAGGGGCCCTTGTCTCCCTCCGCTGTCCTGACTCCTCAGTCCCTCCCAGCTCTCTGACCTCTAACCTTAGCAAGTTCCCAACATCAGATCTTCTCCCTGTGGCTTCTTCCTGGGCCTTCTAAGTCAAGGCTGCTCTACCCCCGTTCATTTCCTGCTGCCAGCTCACTGTGACAATAGGAGAGTTTTGTCCGTTAGTCCACGGTCCCTGGGCTTCACACACACCTCTTCAATAATTTCATTCTCTCTTTGATCTTTTTCTTTTAAATGTTTGAAGAATCAGCTTTTCCCCAGCAGGAATGTCTGTGCTATCACAGGTTTAATGTATCTGATGATGTAGCTATTACTAGTTAGAATAGAAAGAGCTATTGAAACAACATACGCTCATCTGAGTGGCAACCTCGACTCGCCCTGCTTTCAGGAAAAGCAACCTGCTTGGGGGACTCCCACTGACGCTGCCTTACCCATCAGGCCTCTGAATTAAGTGACTGACTGACATATTTCCCCAGTTTTATGATGTTAGGAATAGAACCCAGGACCTCACATGCTGGACAGTCTACCATGAGACACGGAGGTTGGGGGGCAGTGTCTTCCTATTTAAGCAATAGTTAAAATTTATTTCCTTAGCCTGTACCCAGAGCCAGTTCAGTGTGTTTAAAAAGGAGCAGTTCCATCCTAATTCACAACACAGATGGTTAAAAACAACTATTTCCTTGTTTAGGAAGTAAGGATTCTTCCTTATCCCTTTCTTTGTACTCAGATTAGATTAAAAGCTCTTGAGTTCCTTGGTCAGAGTGAGGAAAGGACTTTGAAGAACTTCGCTTCATTCCACCCCTTGCTGAGTGCTGTGACGCACAGAATTGCTTTCCTTAGCTTCTCTGGGTTTCCATGGCCTCATCTGTGAGGTAGAGTGTAAGTCCCAGACAGAAAAGTCTGATGAATGGAATTGGGACTTCCTCCCCCCTAATAGTTCAGTGGGCCTTTGGTGTCAGCCTTCTTGTGAGCAGCAGGTGGCGCCCTTAACCCACTTCACCAGCACCATGTGCACAGCCAGCCTGACCCTAGAAGGGAGGCAGTCCTTGCCCTGGCCAGCCTTTACTAGAGGTCAGGGTGGGTGCTGCCTCCCCACAAATCAGTGGTGTCCTAAGGCTCAGCGGGAAAGCAAAGGAACCAGCTGGAACTTACATCCAGCTCTCCCAAAAAGTTGTGATGTGTGGATACACAGAACTCACAGAGGGTAGATTGCTGGCTGCAGCCACGCATGCTGTCTGCCAGTCGTTTACACCAGTCTGCATCCCTCTGTGCTTGTTCATGGAACCACATCACCACTTGAGCAGCTGAGATTTACAATGGTTAACTGACTCGCCCAGGTTCTCCTTACAAGGGATGGAACCAGGGCGCCAACATAAGTCATATACAAGCTGAGGCCTCAAAGTTTTCACAGAGATGCTAGGGCTCCTGCCTAGCCATGCTCTGGACCTGACTCTAACGCTAAGGTTGGTCACTATTCAGGAAGCAGGTGGGACAAAGGAATGCATGTGTCCGCTTGGAATGCCCCCTCCACTCCTGCCTGGTTTGTATGTGTTACACACAAACACCTGGAGGCCTAGGGCCATATAGGACCATCGCCTCAGAGAAACTGAGAGTCAGAGCAACCCATCCAAGGCACAAGTCCAGCCTCAGAGAACCACAAGACATTGGTCCTAGGGCTTGGTGTCTCAAGGGCTCCCACAGATTGCCTAGAAGAAAATCCAGCTGGCTTTGTCTCCTCCTAGGCCACAGCCATACCGGACATTGAAAGAATCAGACAGTGCAGAAGGTGATGAGACCGAGAGTCCAGAGCAGCTAGTTCGGGAACCCTGGGGACCTAGCCCTGCTCCACCTGACCGAGCTGCCAGCATTGACCTTCTAGAAGATGTCTTCAGCAGCCTAGATGTGGAGGCACCACTGCAGCCACTGGGCCAGGCCAAGAGCCTAGAGGATCTCCGGGCCCCCAAAGACTTTCGGGAACAGCCAGGGAGCTTTGATTACCAGGTATGGTGGGAGTAGGGCACAGTAGCTGATGGGGTGTCTCCTCTTGGTGAGGTAGGTCCTCCCAGTCACAGTGGAAGGGATCAGGGAGATGGGGCATCACACCCCCACCCCCACACTCCCCACCCCTGTGTTAAGTCAATACTCCACCCCATTTCCGAGCAGCACACCATTTTGCCAGCTATCATGGGGAGCTATCATGTTAGCACAGCAGGGGGTGTCTGCCTGCCTCCATTCTTATCTGAGAGTCACTGCTGCAAGGCTTGCCCAGGCCCACCAGGGCTCCTTGGATCAAACTCCTGGGTTCTGAATTGGTTCTCCCAGTGACTGTCAGTCACCTCCCCTCTCTGGGATTCATAGATTGTCCACCTGCTGGGAATGAAGCAGCTCTAGTCTAGCTCAGGTCAAATAGCCTACAAGTGGCATGTGGCATGGTCAGGACTCAGATACAGTCTCTTCTCTGGCTCCTGTGCCTTCAACCAGGCCTAGGGCCACACTTGCCCCTTTGAGGGTAATCAAAGACACCACAATCTCTGAACAGCAAAAGGGCCCAAGCCGTTGTTAGGTGACCCACAGATGGAGACATTTTCCTAAAACTGCTTGGCAAGCTTAGGCTTTTGTAAAAAGACAGGAGATTCATTCTGCATTGTGGGACACAGTAGGGCTTGGGTCTCTGCAGGTGTCCTGGGTGCCTGAAACTCCTCCCAGTGCCAGGAGCCATGTGCTTGACATGTAGGAAGGGTTGGGAACAGGCATGTACTTTCTACTGTTGCCTGGGCAACAATGGTCATCACTTCCTCCCTCCTTCCCCACAGAGGCTGGACCTGTGCAGAAGTGAGAGGGGCCTCAGCACGGTGGCAGCTCTGAAGCTTGCTCATCCGTACAGTAAGCTCTGGAGTCTGGGTCAGGACGATATGGCCATCCCCAGCAAGCTCTCCATGACCTCCCCTGAGAAGCCTTCAGCTCTGCTTGGTACTTCCCCAGCCCTGCCTCTCAGACCCCAGAACCAGGAGGGCATCCTGAGACCCAGCATCAAGGAGGAGACTCCCATCCCAACTCCCGGCAGCATCACCATTCCCAGGCCACAAGGCAGAAAGACCCCTGAGCTGGGCATCGTGCCTCCACCACCCACTGCCCGGCCAGCCAAGCTCCAGGCTGCTGGTGGCCCACTTGGTGACTTCTCCTCAGAGCCGCTACAGATGGACCGGGAAAGACAAGCTGCTCTGAGCCCAGGCCTCTTGTCAGGGCTGCTCCCCAGAGCTGTCTCCCAAGGCCCCCCAGAACTTCTGCAGCCACCCAGCCCAGCCCCAGGAGCTGCAGGCACAGGCAGTGACGCCCTGCTTGCTCTCCTGGACCCACTTAATACAGCCTGGACAGGCCACACCATCCCATCCCATCCTGCTACCCCTAGTGTAGCCACCCCATTCACCCCCCAGCTCAGCTTCCCCCCAACGGTGACACCCACTCCTTTTGCACAGACACCACTTAATCCCTTTGTCCCATCTGTGCCAGTAGTACCACCCACCATGCCCCTGAGCTCTACACCAGCCAGGCCTTTTGGGACCCCTCCAGCATCCCTGGGGCCAGCATACACACCTAGCATTCTATTGTCTGGTTCTAGCTTCTATGCCCCTCACAGATCTCAGCCCAACCTCTCTGCTCTCTCCATGCCCAACCTCTTTGGCCAGATCCCAGTGGGTGCCCACACTAGTCCCCTGCAGCCACTTGGCCCCCCAGCGGTTGCTCCCTCCAGGATCCGAACATTGCCTCTGGCCCGCTCAAGTGCCAGGGCTGCTGAGGCCAAGCAGGGGTTGGCCCTGAGACCTGGTGAATCCCCACTGCTGCCTCCCAGACCACCCCAGAGTCTCCAGCCAACCCTGCAGCCCCCTGCTTCTGCACAGGTCAGAGACCCCTTTGAGGATTTGCTACGAAAAACCAAGCAAGATGTGAGCCCAAGCCCAGCCCCGGCCCTGGCCCCAGCCCCCACCTCCGTGGAGCAGCTCCGCAGGCAATGGGAGACCTTCGAGTGAGCAGGCCTTATGCCACTGTCCAGTACAGTGCCTCCCCAGTGTCCTGTTTCTGACCAGGTTTCACTGGGGCAAAAGGACTCTCTCTGCCCCCTCTCCTCCACAGCCCATCTCTGAGGCCTGGCCCTGGGAATGGTACCATCCCAGAAGAGCTGTCTGCCACCACCGTCAGCACTGACCCTGTGTGGGCTTTGCACTATATGTCAACTGGGCCAGCCATATCTTACCACCTTCCTCCTGCGGCCCAAGAGGAGTCAAGAAGCTCAAGGCTGCTCTCAAGCCCAGCTCTCCTCCTTTGCTGGGCCCTACCCCACAGGGCAGATGTCAGTAACACCCTGTGTAAGCACATCTTTGGGGGACACAGGTGTTTGGGGGGCTGAAGCGAGGACCACCCCTGAGCTGGCATGTCTCCCTGGTGGTCATCTCCAAACCTCTCTAGCAATATACTCTTCTGAGTCTTCACCTAAGCACCAAACTGGAGTTGTTCCTGAAGGCCTGGGGTCTAGAGACCTAATGGTCAGCAAACCCTGCCCAGCCAGCCCTTCTAGAGGTTGGGAACACCAGCAACTCTATAAAAGAACCCCCAAATCTGAGTCTTGGGAGCTGCCCTCAGCTCTCTGCCACCCTCATACCTCTGGGCTTTCATGTCAATCAAAGCTCAGGCTCTGCCTCCTGCCACTTGACCCAGATTCCAACTCAAAGGACAAGCTTCCTGCCACAGACAAAGGGGGAGGCACAGCTATTTGACCTCCTGGGTCGGGATCAGGTAGGGCCCGAGAGTCCCCTGTGGAGTGAATACATGTGGCCTCTAAGCCTGGGGCAAGTGGGGGCCTGGAAGCCAGCCCTCCCCACTGTCTCCAGCTTCACGCCAGTGCAGAAATTCCTGAGCCCAAGTCACCAAAGTTATAATGAAATGTTTTGTTATTGTTTCTTTGATCTTGCTTTTCCTTTTTACCTTATTGATTTGATGAATCTTGAAAATTGATTCCTTTCAATAAACCAAGGTAAAACACAGACTAACGGTTTAAGAAAACATCCATCAGAGACATGCAGGAAATTGTGCACATTTGACCTGGTTTCTCATTTCCTACGTGTAAATGGTCAGACAGCCTACCCCAGGGTTTCTGGGGGTTGGGAACAAGGAGGTTGGATCATCAGAGGTCCCTGTCACTTTAGGGACCCTCTCTGTGTCCAAGAGGTTGTTTATGGGTCCCTGAGGCCTAGGCCAGAGATGCGCCCTCCCCAGGGCTCTGTCTTGGAGGTGCGCTCAGCTGCTGGGGAATGGAGTCTCACCTGGGTCATGGGAAGCCTCCTGGCATTCTGGTGTTCCAGGACAGACCTCAGTTTCACTTCCTCCATCCCAGCAAATTCTGGGTTCCACCCAAGATGAGGCAGTGCCCCAGCCCAGTGGGCCAGTAGGGTGACAAGGTGTCGGGCAGCCTGGGAATGCACACACCTGTGGTCCACTGGAGCCAGTGCACGTCTGTTGTCATCTGTCCATTTCACTGGGTAGAATTTGCAGTCCCAACAATGCACTCTATTTGTGGTCAATAAAACTGGGGAGGGGGCTGTAGTCCTGAGTCCTTCAAGGAGCTCTGGGGGTTGGGAAGCCTGAGCAGGCACTTAGCCATCTCCACCAGCCATTCTGCAGAAGCAGAGGTCACTGTACTCCAGCCTATGCACGCTTGAGGCTCTGAGCCACTTACACTGTCCCTCCCAGTGAGGAAATTATGAATGGGTAGGGGGGCAGAACTATATGAAGGAACAAGTTCCACCCCTCCCCCATATCTAGGCAAGAACAGCATCTACCCCAAGGGAGTACTTGTGCAGGCCACATTGGTGACACTGTGGTGGAACTGGAATGTTACGTTGGCATTCCACAGGAGCTGGCAACTGCAACAGTTCATCCAGGGACCAGTTTCCTCTCCCCTCTCCTGAGGGACATGGAGACAGCTGGGGGCAAAGTGGCCCCACCACTACAGGGTAAGAACGAAGTGACTCTCCTAGCTTAGCATCCAAGAGTCTCATATCAAAGCTCCTACCGGGCCCCTGGCTCCCCCAAGTCTGTGCCTTCCAAGGCAAAGGCAACTGAGACCTGGAAACACCCAGCTTCCTTGTGTGAAAGTCGCCTGGCATATGCATGTGGAAACTCCAGTAAGGAGGTGAACAAGGATGACAAAGGACGCGTCTCCAAGTCAGAGGGCTTTGGGGAGTTCGTGGGAGGCTAGACCTGTAGGACAATGCCCTGGGGGAGGGGGTGTCAGAAGTCAAGCGCACTGAGTAGCCACAGGATGTAATCGACTTCGGCGGCCCGAGAGCCAATGTAGAGGCTGTCTGATGTCCATCTGCCGTGCACTGTTGTTTGGCACACAACTGAGGCCTTCCTTGGCAACAGAACTGCAGGCAAAGGGACAGCCTGTGCCAGAGAACCACAAGATAGTGGGTTTGCAGGGGCCAGGGACAGAGGAGAATGGCATCTCCATTCTTCCACCCCTCTGACCTCCTTGCCAGGGTTCCAAGAAGCCCTTTCAACTCTAGGCAGGCGAGACACTTTCCAACACCCAAAAGGGCAGCCAGTTCTTTCCATCAGACTGGAGGACTTTTGCCTGTTTGTCTCTCAGATCCTCAGAATAACCGTGTGAGGTAGGCAGACAGGTTACTCCACTCTGGCAAATGCCCACAGCAGGCAGGACAGCCCAGGGCAGCTAGCTGCTCCTTGGTTCCTGCAGACCTGCCCAACAGACATGGCCATGACACTGTCCATCAGATCTGCCTAAAAGGGCTTTTGTTCTGGAAACCAAGGAAAGTCTTCGTTTCCCAGCTTCTTCAGGATAAGGGCTGTCCTCGGAGGGTGATCAAGATGTCAAGACCAAAGCCTAGGTGCTTGAGTAAGCTCTGCCCTGTCCAATGCTAGAGAATGTGCAGCATTGGGCTGCCCCTGTCTCAGAGGTATCCATCTGGGTTGTCCCCAGACATGAAGCCCTCAGCACAGTCATAACACATTACAATCCGCAGACCAACATATCCCCATGTACATTCTCAATCTCCCTCCTCTCTCTCTCTTCTCTCCTCCTCTTCCTCAACAGACAGATGTGTGTGTGCGCACACACACAGGCACACACACACACAGGCACACACACACACAGGCACACACACACCCTGTCATACCATGGCACCCACATGTGCCCTGTATACAGCCCAGCAGGTCAGAGAAGTGCAGACTCTCAAAGCCTCCTCTGCTTCCCTGAGTTGTTCCCCATTTCCTGAGTCCATGATGGACAGGAGCAAGGACTGCCAACCATGGGAGCACATCCTATGGATGTCCCAGCTCTGGAAACCATCTCCTTGGATCTCCAGGTAGAAGTCCTACAGTGACCCTTTAGGACCTTCAGGACATGGCACCAGCAGCTAGGCAAGCCTAGATAAGTCTCTCCTCTGGTGGCACCTTGAGGACACTGTCCATCTCCAGCCGGGCCCCAGCCACCTCCTGCTGACTTGGGCTGTAAGTGCCCTCAGACTGGCGGCGCTTTCTGGCAGCCAGGATTCCTGAGAGAAGGCCCAGGAGGAGAAGGAGGAGGCAGGCACAGGCTGCGGGCACTGCTACCTCCAGCAGTGGGAACGGCAGAGGCAGAGGCAGGCTTTTCTGCAAGAGATGGAAGACAAGAAAACTCAGAGAAGTGTCCCAAAGTTAGGAGAGACAGCCCCAGGGATGTCCCAGCCAATGCTAGGGGAGTGTTGCCTAGCCCTGGCTAGGAGGATAGACAGTAGACATTCCAGGAGTGCCTGTGGGGGTGTCACTGAATCAACAGTCAGCTGAAGCGAAGCAAGAACAGAAAGCAGAGCCGGAACGAACTGAGCTCTCTGATGACAAGGACAGACAGGATTCACTATGGCCTGCCTGCTCACAAGGGGTTGCTCTGACAGCCTGGTTTGGAGTTGAGTGCAGCATTTCTCCATTTCCAGTCACAGAGTCCCACGGTGCCCCCAGTAATGATTCCAAGTCCCAGAATGAGAACCCCAGCAGTCCAGACACAGACACTGGGGTCCCCCACTCACCACTCTTTCCCCTACATCTTGAGGCTTTTCGGCCTACTCTGTCACTTGCTTACCCAATCCCAGCATTCAGCCCCGAAGAAGGGAGCCCCAAAGCTATAAAGCTCACACCTTCCCCCTCTCCAATACTTCAGCAGGAGCTGTAAAACCATTTCCTCCCCCTGGTGAGTGGGGGTGGGGTGGGGGGGTTATAGTGGGAAGGCAAGGGGGAGTGGGGGGGGTTATAGTGGGAAGGTGAGGAGGCAAAGGCTATAAAGTTCACCTTGACAGGAACTCTTCTCAGAAGCAAAGGGGACTCCTTACCAGGAACCTCCCCAAAGCTCTGTGCCCCCCACAGGCCCAGACCTCTGCCAGCTGAGCCTCCTTGGGGTGCCTTGGGGTGAGGGATACCTACAGTGTCCAAGCCTGATCTGTTTCAGAAACTGGGCTCTGGAACCTAAGACTGACTGCAGACTCTATGTTCCTATAGTCTGAGAAGCCAGTCCCAGAGTACACTTGGAAAATCCCAACCTGTCCCCCCTGCCGCTACCCTAGCTACCATTGGGAAGCTCCAGACTGTGTCTGATGGATGGGGAAGAGGGGGGGGGCTAAGCTTTCCCTAAGGTGAAAATAACTCCTACATGGGGTACTTACTAGAAGGGGCCTAGGTATCTTCTCCCCACCCTCAGCAAAGCCTGTCCACCGTCAAGTCCACAAGGGCCATACCCTCCCTGCCCACTGTCCTGCTAAGGTCTAAAGAGGCCTAGCTGCCCAGCCCTGGGTACTACTCACCACCACTTCACAGAACTGGCCAGAGAATCCTGCACTGCAAGTACATTCAAATATGCCACTGGCCACCTGGCAGGTGCCCCCATTCAAACAAGGGCTGGCTTCACAGGGTTGGTCGAGCCTCTGACATCTGGAAGAGATGGCGACTGAGAAAGCAAAGCCCTCCTCCCACCCACAGCTGCCTCCCATGTCCCCAGCTGTTCCCCACCTCCATCAAAGTTTACCCAGCTGGGCTGGAGAGATGGCTCAGTGGTTAAGAGCACTGACTGCTCTTCCAGAGGTCCTGAGTTCAAATCCCAGCAACCACATGGTGGCTCACAACCATCCGTAATGAGATTGTATGCCCTCTTCTGGTGTGTCTGAAGACAGCTACAGTGTACCCATAAATGAAATAAATAAATCTTAAAAAAAAAAAAAAAAAAAAAGTTTACCCAGCTGCTTTCCTGCTTGGATCAGGGTGGGTGGGGCAGGTAATGTTGAAGGACAGGGATGCCAACTACACTTCCTAGGGGCCCAGAAGTTGCATTTTGGCCATGTCCATTGAGGACCAAAGGGCTTTAAGAAACTGTGTGTGCCGGCAGTGGTGGTGCACACCTTTAATCCCAGCACTTGGAAGGCAGAAGCAGGTTTGGGGCCAACTCGGTCTACAGATTAAGTTCCAGGGACAGCCAGGTACATAGTGAAACCCTGCCTCAAAAGAAAAACAGACAAACAAAACCAAAAAAGAAAGTAAAAAGGAAGGAAGGAGAGTGGGAGAGAGAGAAGGAGAGAGAGAGAGAGAGAAAGAAACTGGGTGATGAGTACTGCCCAGCCAGTGTCTGCCTAATAGATATTGGTCTTGGAAGTCCCAGAAGAACCAAAAGACACTGGTGGATCATCTGGCACTGAAGTCAATGAGGAACAAGACAAGGAGGGCCTCATTTCCCTTGCCCAGGCTGGGAATCCCAGGGGCAAGCTCCCAGTCAACATTCCAGGCCCTGGTCTCCAGACCCACCTGAGGCCAGCCTCCTGGCAACTGCAGTTGGTGCCTAAGGGGCCACCCTCACAAGAGGTGCCATCCTTGCAGGTGGAGTTGAAGCTACATCCCTGAGGCAGGATAGGCAACCTGCAGAGAAATGCAAGGCCAATGAGGTGCTGGGAACTGGTCATAGTGCTTCTATCTGGGGAATGCAGGCCCACCTTAAGGAACACGGGGCTGTCATTCTGCTGCTCCCCCAACCCCACAAGAGCTGAGGCCTTTGCTAAGTGCTGACATTAAAGAGCAGAGCAAAACCGTTCCTAAACTGAGGAGAGAAGAAAGCTAGACCAGGGCAAGACAGCTCTGGACCTGGAAGGAAATGGGGGAGTTGCAAAGGCAACATCATCAAGGCAGCTTGATGCAAAACTCCAGAACCATGCTCCCTGATTAGTTCTGCCTTCCATGTTCTCCTCAAACCACAATGTTGTCCTGAAATTCAAATTGTGTCGAGTAATATAATCTGTATTTTCTCTTTATGGGTACCAAACTGAACTAGCTACCGAGAATTTATTCCCTCCAAACCCCACCCCTGGTAAATCAGCAGTCAGCTCTACCCAGTGCTGTCCCCAGGTCAGGTCCCTTGGCCACCCGCACCTGCAGCGCGGGCCAGAGAAGCCCGGAGGGCAGCGACACTCGAAGCGGCCGTCCGGGCGCGCATGGCATTGGCCCCGGACACAGGGCGAAGAGCGACATGGGTCAGCGCGGACCTCGCAGCGGGGTCCTTCCCAGGCCGGGCTGCAGGAGCAAGCGAAGACATCGAAGAGGTCGCGGCAGGCGCCGCCGTGCAGGCAGGGCGAGGGCGTGCATACGGGCCCGCCGCGGCAGCCGAGGCTCACTGCCGGAGACCCGGGCCAGGCCACGAAGTGCTCGCGCGCCCCAGACATCGCGCCGGACCGCGGTGGGGCCAAGGGTAACGGGAGGCCGCCGAGCGCCACGCGGCCCAGGCAGCCTGTGAAGTTCTCGGCCAGTAGCAGAGGCACAGCACCCGGACCGTGCAGGAAGCCCAGGTCCGCGCCCAAGCCGTGCAAAGCCACGGGTGTCGCCGCGCCGTCCAGCCACAGCAGCCAGCGCGAGGCAGCGGCCTCTGGGAACTCCCGAGCTAGGCGCACGCGATGCCAGGCGCCGTCGGCCACGCGCGGCCCGGGCGCGGGCAGCACCGAGCCCGCCACGTCTACAGCCAGCGAGCCGTTACGCACCGCCAGCCAGATGTTGGAGTGAGCACCCGCGGCGGAGGCGGCGCTCAGCAGCCCAGCCTCCGGGTCCCGCGTGCGGAAGGCCAGGGTGAGCCCGCTGAGAGCGTGCGAAGAGGACACGTTGTGGCCTGTGAACACAGCAGGAGGGCCCTCGCGGAACGTAGCCTCGGCCACACCTACAGAGAGAGGTAGAGCCGCTGGGAAATGACCGACCAGACTTCTCCTACACCAGCCCTGTCCCCCAATCCAGCAGGTGATAGGGTCCATGATCCACAACTGTTGACCAGGGCATGCACCCACCTGTCACCTGATCTCAGAAACTGCAGCTCCCTCATCCACCCCTTATGCATTCTCCTCCTGGAGGGAATCAGTTCCGGGGTAACCCTAAGGGGACCTGCTATCCTGAAGGCCCTAGACACATTAATAATATTAATAATATTAACTCCTCATAAATCTAACCTGCTCCCCTCCTCCCTGAAGGAGTCTGGCTCTTCACTGCACACAGGTTCGGGTCCAGGACATCCCTCTCCTCCTTACCCTATGTAAGTAGTAGCTCAGTTGGTAGACTGCCTAGTAGGTAGGAGGCTTTGACTTCATCCGTAACACCCAACAAACTGGTTCTAGGGGCCCATATCCATAGTCCCTTTACTGGGGAATTTGAGGCAGGAGGATCACAAGTTCAAATCAAGATCACTCTTTGCTACATGGTGACTTCAGGGCTAGCCTGAGCAACGTGAGACCCCTTGGTCTCTGAGCTGCTTGGCAGGCTTCAAAACCTCTACCAACTTCTCAACCTTGCACTTCAGCTGTCTATAGATAGGACTTTAAAACCTCACACACCACATACCCCTTCCCAATCTTCCTTTCCTGTGGCTCCCTTGAAGTTGCCTTGGAAACCCCAGCACATACCTCGCCTAAGAGTCTGTTTCTAAGACCGCAGTGACCAGCCATATTGGGGCCGTTAGTCCACTGCCCAACATCCCATAAACCCTAAGAGATCTCTAACCATCTTCGGTACCCAGCACCCAGGACACAAACTCACACACAAAGCCATCTGGAACCTCCTCACAGGTGGCAGGCGGAGGGCACGGCTGCCTGGGGCACCATCGCTGCTGGGCACAGGTGGGCCCTGTGAAGTTGTCGGAGCAGGTACAGTAGAAATCATTCCAGGTGACGTGGCACGTTCCACCATTGAAACAGGGATTGGGCTATGGAAGAGGTGGGACACCCGTGAGCACTCACGAAAGCAGCACCCTATCCCTAAGATTACCTCATCACAGAGTCGAGGAGAACCTGTCATCACCCCTACATTACAGATGAGACAGTAGGCCCAGAGAGGCCCCACTGGGGGCCCAGCCACTAAAGAGGCTGTCTAGTTTGTACTGCTGATGAACCTCCGTGCCTCTTTCCCCCAAGCAGCAGCTATAGAAAGGCTGAGGCCCATCCTCTGTCTAGGTCAGGATGTCACCTGAGACTGATACAAAGAGGACCATGGGAAGGAAAGAACTGGGCAGGGAGGAGATGGGGCACTCCTGTCTGCCACTCTGGTGACAGGAATGTGAGCAGCTCATGTGGCTGTCCTGAGCCTCAGCTTGCCTTATGTCCTGGGATCCTAGCTCAGGACTCCCTCCCAGGCACTCACATTGCATGTGTCCTCAGAGACACAGCCCTGGGTGATGTTGAAGGACTGACCGGCTTCCAGTTCACTGGGCCAACTTGAGTTCTCCATCGGGGAAGAGAAGAAGGGGAGGTGGATGCCGTTGAGCTGTAGGTCCTGGAGACAGCCTCGGAAGGGCCCACCCCAGGGCTGGGTGTCCTCAGGGTAGAACCTTCCACCCACATACAGCCACTGGCCCAGGTCCTTTAGCTGGTCAGGCCCAAAGCTGAGTGTCACCAAGTGGGGGAGTCCATCATCCCAGCGCCCAGGGAGGGTCACAGCAGGGTGACCCAGCACCTCAGCCCGGATCTGGCCCTCACTCAGGGACACGGTTAGGCTAGCAACTGAATCGTTGGCAAACTGGAGCAGCAGGCCGGCAGGCTCACGGGTGCGGAGGAAAAACGACACAGTGAGGTTTGGGCCTAGCAGCTGGTGGAGCAGGAAGGAGGCTGAGCTCATGGCACCGCCCAAGCCAAAGGTGGCAGCAGGAACCTCTGCAGGGAGAAACAGTATTGGGTGAGGCCAGGAGGTGGAGGGGCCCGGCATTAATGCTACCTCCCGACCTGCTAACCCCTCACCATCAGTGCATGTGGACCCATAGTAGGGTCTCAGGCAGTCACAGCGGAAGTGAGTCCACAGGTCCACGCAGGCCCCTCCATGGACACAGGGCAGAGGCTGGCAAGGTTCCTTGCGCTCACAACCCAGGAGCACATTTCCGTTGAGCTCCTCGGGCAGCAGAAGGTGTCCTTCCACACTCACATCCTGGAAGCAGCCTGCAAAGGCCCTGCCACCCAGATGGATGGAGTAAGGCCCAGGAGGCCCAGAGGCCACCGAGACTGTAGGACCTGTAGCCACAGAACCAGAGGCCACACAGAGCTGGCCAGGGCAGCCCTCATGCCAGAGCCGCAGCTCCAGGGTTCCCAGGTGGAGTGCCACCTCCACCTGATGCCAGTGCCCATCATTTAAGGCTACGTCTGGCAATGTAAGGACAAGCATAGCAGTACCATGACTCCAGAGTGTGGCCCGGAGCATGGCCCCCACCAGAACCAACTCCAAGCTGTCCCAACTGTCCTTGAGAGTAGCTAGGGCTCCAGCAAGTATTGTGGTACGAAATCTCAGTGCCAGACCCAGGGAGGAACCATCTGGCACCAATCCCCACACTGAACTGCCAGCCACAACCGAGAAGGTAGTATTCTGGCCACAGAAAGGCCCAGAGGTCCCAGGTGGGCAACGGCAGAAATAACTATGGAGGCCAGACTTGAAGGTGGGGATGCAGGTGGCAGCCAGTGGGCAGGTGTGGCCCTGGCAGCCTGTGAGCTGCACAGAACAGTCATGTCCACCCCAGGCCTCCGGGCACTGGCAGATGTAGTCCGCTACAGTGTCGCTGCAGGTTCCACCATGCAGGCATGGTTCCGACTGGCATTCGTCCATATCTTCCTGACATGTCAGGCCTAAAGGGGAGAGATCAGCCAAGGGTCAGTACACCATGCCAGAGCCACAGTCTCCAACCAGAACTCAAATGCCTCATGGTGATGCTGACCTCCGCACCTACACACCAGGTCCCCTAGGGTCCCCTTCCCTAGCTCCACCTCCTCTTCCACCCCATGCCTCTTGCTTTGCCAGATCTGGTAGCCTCTAGGTCAGCTGCCTTCAGAAGTTCCTCCCCACCCATCTCCAGAGTAACCGGAGGTCTCTTTCTGAGGTGTCACCTGGCTATACACCTCTGCTGCATATGACCCAGCCACTCACCTTAGTATTCAAGACTGTCACAGGCTAGGCCTACCAGGCTCTCAAGCCTCAACCTTGCCCCCTGGAAGCCTTGAACTTGCTATTATTCTAAGTATTTCTTGGAAAGTCATGCCTCAACTTCCCTTACTATTTCAAACTTCTCCTCATCCTGCATAGCCAGCCCACAGAGGGTTCAAGCTTTCCCTTATAGAGGGTTTGCAGGTGAGTGGCTGGTTCATATGCAGCAAAGGAGTACAGCCAGATGACACCTTGGAAAGAGTCCTCTGGTTTGTCTGGAGATTGGTGGGAAAGAACTTCTAAAGGTAGCTGACTTGACAGCTACCAGATAGCCCAAAGACCCAAACTCAGCATCACCCAGACAGGGCTCCCCAGAACCCTGTATTGAAAATATGTTTACTCAGCTGTAGTTTCCCTCTGGAGCCTGAATCTGTCCTTGGTACCCAGTGAAAGGGCTTGGCAGAGCCTTTTTAGACATGGAACAGCCACGGGGATACACCTGGAGCATACTGAGCACCCTGGGGGTCACTCCTCAGTCCCTCTACCCTGGGGTCTGCCCAAGAACACTGCCTGGGAAGGTGCCACCCCATCTTCCTTTTCACAATCAAAAGGCCGAAGAGCAACCCCAGTTCAGCCAGAGCTTCCACAACCCAACCAGAGGTCATCCTCACCCCACACCTCAGCTATAGAGACCCAGGCCCAGAGGAGCCCGTGAGGCTAGGTCAGCCCACACACCTACACTCTCCTCCTCACAATTACCAGGCACCCTCTGGACACTCTGCCTTTGAGAGGCCCCAGTCCTCCTACCTGTTAGGAGCCACAGGCTCCCCAGGAATGGGCCCAGCACCCACAGCCCCATCATCACCTACAGATGCACCAAGGCTTAGAAACAGGGCTCCCAGCCTGCCTGCGCTCTTCGGAGCCAACTCAGGAATGCCAGGCTGACCTTCCAGTCCAGAGCCTTGTGGTGTCTCAAGGGAGGCTGGGCTCTGTGCCCAGCCTCACAGCTAGGATCTCTCCTCCAGGACTCTGAACTCAGAGCTCCCTCTCCCTGTCACTCACTAACTCCTTAACTGGAAGGATCTAGGTTCCCCCAGACGCTGTTTAAGACACCCCTCTCCCAGGACAGCCAGGGCTACACAGAGAAAACCTGTCTCGGAAAAACCTAAAAAAAAAAAAAAAGACACCCCTCTCTAGGCTTCACTGCCATGTCCATGAGATGGGGATAGAAAACCCTTCCCTGTGAGACTATGGAGGAGTGGGCCACTGTGGGAGGATGTGGAAGGGAGGGACTCAAGCAATAGGAACAGTGGATAGGGCGTGGGGTACCCAACATGGGGGAGCATTCAGCCCCAATATGTTTGCGTGGCTAAGATAGGAGAGAGGGGATATATCCCAAGCAAAGGAACTTGCCTCCAGAAACCTTCAGGGAACAGAGCTAGGCAGGAATGCCGGCATGTGGGGGAGTGCTACCCACATTCCAGTGGGGGCAGGGACACTAGAGACAGGAGTCTGTGTGCAGCTCCCGGGTGGTTTTTACATGGAGAACTTTCACACTCCAACCACTGACACAGGCACAGCTCCCCAGAGCCAAAACATGTTCTTCTGAAGGCAGGCACCTGCGCACAGTGCTGCCTCCTGCTGTCTTGGACAGAAGCTCTGTCCCTCTTTGATTTGATAGCAGAGTTCAGGGCCCAAGCCACCAGACATCCATATATGAGCCCCAGTCCAGGCCTCTCTCTTGGGGTCAGTCTCTTGTCCCCCCAGCTGGCCCTGGCTTCACGGACACTCAGTACTCACAGGGCTGAAGTCACCAGCCAACATTCCCCAGGGTAGAGGATCACTTAGCAGCCTTGGTACCACCTGCTCCACGCTTCCGTCCTGACTGTACTCAAACTGACCAGTTTCTCCCCCTCAGTTGGGATTCTAGCTCAGCACACCTCGCCCCCTTCAGCTGTCACCTGTGCCACCACGGCCACCTCTAGCTTCATTTTCCATATGCATCAATCCACATTCAGCCAAAAGGGATCATATCTCCTCCATGCCAGAGCCACCCCCAGTCGAGCACCTGTGTATCCATCCTGGCAGTAGCACTGGAAACCATTGGGCAGATCCTGGCAGCTCCCTCCGTTGAGGCATGGCTCTGAGGCACACTCATCTACATCCACGCTGCAGTCATTCCCTGTTTTTTTTTTTTTAAAAAAGGGGGGGGGTAGGTGGGGCTCAGGTGCACCGTCAGAGCCAGACCAGAACCAAAAGGGTCCATTTTACAACTTGGGAGACTGAGACCCATTGAGAAAGAGAGAGGAGAGTATGGATTCAGGCGGGGTACTGGGCAGGCTGGATCCATCCTTGGAGTTCTAGACCCTGACTGAGTGCTTCTTCAGCAGGTAACTCACCGGCAAAGCCCAGAGGACAGCTGCAAAGGAAGCCAGCAGCGTGGCTGAAGCTGAATGCTCCCGGGAAGGTGGCCTGAACACCCCCATACAAAGTCGGATCAGAGCGCTGTAAGCACCGGCCCCCGTTATGACAGGGATCCGATGCACATTCATCCTCATCCACTTCGCACAGCTCTCCACTGAAGCCTGGGGCACACAAAAAGACATCAGGAAACACGTGTGCCTAGGCAGTTCCCCTCCATGACCCAAGCCAACCCAGGACCCAACAGGGACATCATCAGGATGTGGATACTGACAGAGGGACAATAGGGACTAGTAATAGCCAGCTACCAATTGCTACAAATTCTATATACTAACATTCAGACACCCTTCTTGAGTGCCAGGTACATCGCTGCTTCTCACAGCAACCCAAGGGACAGGTGCTGTTAGCAACCCTGTTTGCAGATCAGGAAACTGTCACACACACACACGCGCGCGCGCGCACACACACACACACACACACACACACAGAGTGGGGTGGAGGGTCGTGCACACCTGGCCAGCAGAGGCAGCGGAAGCTCCGGAAGCCGTCGAGACAGGACGCGTTGTGCGCGCAGGGCGCAGAGGCGCACTCCAGCACCTCCTGCTCACAGCGCGGGCCTTCGTAACCCGTGTCCGCGCAGTCGCACCGGAAACTGGCGTGGGCGGGCGGGAGCTGAGCGCGAGCCCATCCCGCAGCCCACCTCCCCGCAGCCAGGGCATTCCGCCAAGGGCTCACCCGTTGACCAGGTCGTGACACACGCCACCGTGCGCACACGGCTGGCTCTGGCACTCGTCCACGTCCAGCTGGCAGCTGGCACCGGCGTATCCCGGCGCGCACACGCAGCGGTAGGAGCCCACGCCGTCCAAGCACGAGCCTCCGTGCAGGCAGGGCGCTGACGAGCACTCGTCCACCTCGGCCTCACACGTCACGCCTGGACAGGGACAAGAGACACGGAGACCACATCTAAAGGGGCAAAAGGGGCCCAACCAGCAGCCTCAGTCCAGTTACATATGCCTCACTCTTTCAGAGGAAGTGCTGCCCATAGACCCAGGCAGCCGGGTAGAAGCAAGAAGACCCTCCTTGCCCTGACAACCTCACCGCAGGGTGTGGGTCGGAAAGGGCTACTGTTTATTAATGTTGACCACAATAAGAGAGACAGCTGGATCCTGTGAGGACAGGAGCCAGGGTCTGTTCTAGGGAGCCGGGAACGGGCGGAGCAGAGGCTTCTGGAACAGCTTTTTGAAAACTGAGTAAAGCCAATGATGACAGTTGCTGGCACCCCTCTTGAGGCAGAGGCATAATGCCCTGGGAGAAGGATGGAGAAAAGATAGAACCAGAGGAGAGTGGCCAAGAAAGGCAGGAGGGCATGAGGTACTAGAGCCCAATCAGACTCCTGTTCATCAAGAGAGGTCAGGCTTTGGGCCTGGAGAGAGTTCAGCCATAAAGAGAGCTTCCTGCTCTTCCAGAGGACCAGAGTTCCATTCCCAGTGCCCACTTTAAGCAGCTCACATCTGCCCTAAGAGCAGACCTGCTTGGTTTAGCTTTCATGAAGATGTTCAGATAGCGAGCGTTCCTAGCATCCTCTCACCCAGGTCCCTCTTCTACTACCTGCATACACATGACATAATTAAATCCTTTTTAAAAAAAAATAAGATGTTGTTAGGCATAATAATAGTCAATCTTTGTGGTCAGTCACCTTGACCAGATTTGGAATCTTCTAAGGGCTATGTCTGTAAGAGAGTTTACAGGAGGATTCAACTGACGAGAGAAGATCCACCCTGAATCTGGGGAGCACACTCTCCAGGACTGGGATCCTGGATTGAATAAAAACAGGGGGGGGGGGGAAACAAACAAAAGGAAGAAAGCAATCAGAGCTCCAGCATCAGAGGATACAGTGTGACCTGGTGACTCATGTTCCTTCTGCTGTGCAGTCCATGCCATGATCGACAGCATCCCCACAAGGACAACCGTCCTGCTTTACTTGCTTCTTGTTAGGATTTTACCACAGCAATGAAAAGGGAGACCAGCACAGCAGCTCAGCAGTGTGTGGTTCAGAAGCCTCAGTGGTAGATTTGAGAAGGATGTGAAGAAGGGACCCCACAGAAGAGGGACACTCTGGGCAGGACACACTGGAGTAGGGTCACCAATTCCTATGCTATCTTGACTTTAAAACTGGAAGTCTCTAGTTCTACCTAGAGGATTTCTCATGCCTCTGGGAAAACTCTGAGTATATGTTGGCCCTCTCCTGGATAGGGGTGGAGACGGGGAGATGGAGAATCCCCAGGTGTGAGGATTTATAAGACAGGTTCTGTCAGTGTAGATGTCCACGGCCTTTCCCCTGCCACCTAAGTAGGTTTTGTCATGGGGGCTTAGGAGCCAACTGACCCCAGCTGGAGTCCTCCCTACATCTCAGTCCAGCCAGCCTCAGGACTCCTCCTTCCCATGACCCTCCAGCCCCACTCCTATCCTCTGTGCCAGGGAGAGCCAGGCCCAGGCCTCCTGGAATCCCAACTCCCCCACCCTGCTATGAGCCAGAGGGAAATGAGTCACGCAAAGCTGCCTGCTCACATCACATTGGCCGGAATCCTGCACAGACAGTGCTCACATGTCTGCCGACAGACACACAGATGATTCCCACGGAAGTATACACAGATTATGACACAAGAAAATGCTCAGAGCACCCTTAGAGCTACCATACATATGCAGAGAGCTGGGACGTGCAGTCTCACCTGCACAAACACTCAGACCATGAGAGAGGAGAGATGCAGGGATGTGTCTTAACCAACTCTTTCCACACTGTCATCTCATCCCTCCATGTCCGTCCTGTGACTTGGTTCCCAGTCTGTACCACTTGCTCAGATGGGACTTCAAACTGCCTCACAGTTTGAGCACGATATCTAAATTCAGGGTTAATGGACACCCCAGTGTCTATGCTGCAAACTCCAGACTGCACTAAATTAAACATCCTTTGAGGACCTGTCCCCAGCCGTCCCCTCCCTCCTGACATTAGGCAGCCCTAGAAGGCAGATGTAGGAGTAGGAAGGGACTGGGGGGAGGTGTTCCCTGGAAGACAGCCACGTGTGTCCATGCCAGTCATGGTGCTGAGCACATTATTTCTAGGGAACAAGGACAGCTAGGACTCATCCCCATCACAAACAGGAAAGGATTTCAGTGGATCACTGAATTCAGGATGCCTAGAGGACTGAGGTCTGAATTACATACTATCAGGTGAGCCACACGGGGTCTACATGGCAGCTTGACACAGGTCTAGACTGAAGAAATGCTAGCAATAACCATCTGGGCATCCTTGTGAAAGCCAAACCAGGCAGGTGTGCCCTGCAAGGGATGTTTGAGGATTATTCCCCATCTCCAATGGGGACCATACTCAGTTCTGTAGCAGGGACAAAAAGCAGTATTTGTCAAGTAACTGATATGTGCCAGGCCCCACATTAACACTCAAACATACAAGCGCTGATCCCACCTTCCAGGTTAACCCAAGAAACATCAGTTGTGCAGCCAACCCAAGAGTGGTTAACAAAGCTGCCAGCCAGCCTGGGGCATCTCCTGACTTGAGCCAAAGCTTAATCCGGATGCTCACACTATGGAGCTGATGGGCTCCATGCCCATCCATGGTCCAGCTCCCCAAGGTGACCAATACTATTACCTGCATAGCCCAGGGGGCAGTGGCACTCGTAGTGATCCGCCAGATTTCGGCAGGTGCCCCCATGGTGGCAAGGCCGGGAGGCACACTCATCGATGTCCAGTTCACAGTGGGGTCCCTGGAATCCAGGCACACAGTAGCAACGGAAGCTGTTAGGATCTGGGCCCTGGGGCACACACAGTGCACCGTGGTGGCATGGTTGACTAGCACAGCCTCCAAGCTCTGAGAGCTCACAGGTGTAGCCACCACTTTCTGTAGCCTGGCACTTAGTCCCTGGAGCACATGGGTCTGAGGCACAGGCACTTGGGATCTCTGAAGGAACCAGCCCTGTAAAAAAGAAAACATATTGGCAATATGGGCAGGGTTTGCATGATCCACTCTTCCCCACCATTAGACACAAACCTAACAGTAACACAGGTGCGTCCATGTTCAAGAACCTGTGTGCACACCAAGGGCATCTACAAGCTGATCACAAATGGAGGTATCTACACCTGGAACTGAGGTGGTTTTATTTCCTTATTTTGTGCTTATTTTTGAGAAGCACTATCTCGTAATCCAAGCTGATCTGGAACTTGCTATATATCCAAGGATAACCTTAAACTTCTGATCCTCCTGCATCACCTCCCAAGTGCCAGAATTATAGGCATACACTACCAATCCAGGTTTATGGAGTGCTGGGGAATCATACCCAGGGCTTCCTTGGAGAAAGGCAACCGTTCTCCGGACTGAGCTACAGCCTGAGGCCCTGAGGAAGGTTTTAGTTGTATCTGTAGAGCAGATAGTGGACAGGATGAGCAGCTCCCCTGTGACAGTATTGTGACACAGCCCAAGCTCTCTGGGCCCCCCCTGGAGCACCCTTAGGAGGCTTGGACTGTCCTGTGTCCTCAGACAAGCAATAGAGGCTCAAGGACATAAAGACTTGCTGACATCACATGATAAGTTAACAAGGAATAGGTGACAATGCCAGGTTGTTCCTGCTACACCAGGAAAGAGCTCGCCAGGCCTTTCCATTCTGTAGGCCTGTGTCCACTCAGCAGCCTAAAATGGGGTGGAGGAGTCAAAGGAGGGGACAGCTTCTACCTCCTCCAACCCCCCGCTGGGGGTCTGGTAACTCCATCTCTCACTGAAACCTGAGACTCTGATCTCAGCCCCAGGAAAAGAATGGGCGACTTCAAAGGCAGGACCTGGCTCTGCCTTTCTCACTCCTAACCCATCCCGGTCCCGCCTTCTTGCCAGCTTGCCTGGGGACTTCCAGAGGGTCCCTTAGCACTCACACCATCCCCCACAAGCAAATACCTGAAACAAAGCAGGTATAGTGACTTGGACCTTCTCACTTGATACCTGACCAGGGTCTACACACTTGGGGCACCCGGTGTTGACTTAGAAGACAAAGTCAGTGAGTATCGTTCCTTCCCTTTATCCCAGCTTGAAAGCCTTGCCACTATTAGGCCTGAGTCCAAACCCAGCTCAGAGATCCATGAGCTGTGAGACCTCGGGGAGAGGCTTCTACTGAACACCCTTCTCCTCTTGAGTAAAAGAAGGATTCAAAGCCTCAGGTACAGACACAGATGTGAGGGAGGGAAACCCTTCTACCCACCACCTGGAGCTCCAGGACCTACCCTCCCCCAAAGTTGTCATGGGGACACTAACCAGACCTGAGCAGCAAGACTGTCAGGCCCTGCACCTTCCCTTCCCCCAGACGGTGAAGACCCCCGCCCCTCCAGATAAGGTTGGCAGCCTCTCAGGCGTCATCCACATTCCACGGGGGCAGGGCGTCTGCTGGCCAGATCCCCAAGCTCCTAAGATGGAGGACAGCAAACCATGGGGATAGTGGACCCAGGGAGACATCATGGCTGCGCAGTGCCATCTCAAGTGTCCAAGGTTCTTCCTGCCATACTGGGGCCTAGCATCCACCAGAGACAAGTAAGGGGTCAGATTCTGAAGTCTGATATACTTTCTGGCTAAGAGGCCCCTCAGTTCACAGTTGTCCCAACCCTCTGCCAAGCCTGAACATATGGGTTGGAGAAAGGGGCCACTGCCTGCCTGGGCCACTGTCCGAGCTTACGGGCAGTGGTGGGGCCTTCTGCTTCTTTGACTGGACAGACTGGGAAGTCTGGAGGTCCCAGGATAGATGCCCTGTGAGGGTAAGAAGACAATTTGATGGGAGATGGGAAAACGGGTGGGACCTGCGGCAGGAAGTGGACGGAACACCTTCAGGAAAAAGCATGTCTGATGTTTGAAGCGTCAGACAGATTCAGTATTGTGAGGAGCCCCAAAATGATGTGCATGATGCCTTGACACCCAGGGAGCCCCCTCGAGAGGCAGTGGCCATGATGGTCAGAGGCCCTAGGCTCTGAAGGCCCCAAGAGAAGAGTGGTTATAACTCCTCTTATAAAGCGCCTGACTATTGGCCCCATGCCAACACATTGTAATCCGGTCAAATTACAGATTCTTATCTCTGTGGCGCAAGGAATCTCTCACCACAACCTGGAGCTTGGCCCCTAGCTCTGAGCCCACTATATTAGTGGTCACAGCATCAGGGGAAGGAGGCTTTGCTCCTCTATGGGTCCTCCCCGAGCCCAGCAGGGGGCTGTTACTGTGAGAAATACCTGCGAGGCAGAGTCCAGCCCACAGTTTGAAAGGCTCTAGAGGAGCAAAGCAGGAGGGTACAAACAGGCCCAGAACCTGCGCGGGTCGGTCATTCACTGCCTAGTTTCCTGACATGTTAGCAGTTTTATCTGCCGTTTTACAACTCAGAGACTCTTCACTTCAGTCCCACCGCACTCCAGGGTGACCCGACGGGCTCACAGTGAGCCCAGGAGACCAATTGGGCAGGGGAGGGGAGGAGTTCTCCCTAGGGACTAGCTGGAGAGGCGGGGCCTTGTCGCCAGGGCAACAAGGGGCCACTGCTTATCTTTACAAATCCCTCCTGACCTCTCAGACTGCCTGGGCTGACCTGGCAGAGGAGAGATTAACAGACACAGACACAGGATGCTGGCCCTTTCCTCAGACCTGTGCCCTGCCCCACCCTGAGGAGAGCAGTCATTGCCTGCAGTAACCTTCACCTCGTCGTGAGTGCTCTGTACTAAAGGCAGGTGTGTTTCGCCATCTTGATGTACTTGGTTCACACTAGAAAAGGGAGACTTAAAAAAAAAAAACTGCTTCCCATCATAAAGAGACTGAAAACTTGCATTTGCAGAAGCATGTGAAATTGTGTGCCAAACAATTGTCAACCTAATATGTCCCCGGCCCTTCTTCCCCTCACCAGAAAAGTCTTAGAGTCTGGGGAATGGTGTACGGCTTCTTGGTACAGCACTTGCCTAGCTTATGAGAAAGCCCTGGGTTGCACCCCCAGCACTAGGGAAGCATAAGGTATAAGCTATCCTGGGAGAGAAGCACTCTGTCTACCCTGAGCCTAGCAGCTGTCATGCCACTGCACCAGTCCCCGCACCAGTCCCGGCTTAGGAACTGCTACTCTGCCCGAGCTAGTTTACTGAGTGTACTCACTTTCTCTGTGCCTCAGCAGCCCTGGGGCTGCTATTGCTGCAATGAAGAACAACAATAAAAAGAGAACTGGAGAGGAGAGGGTATATTTGTCTCATATTTCCACATGACTGTTCATCACTGGACAGAAATTCAAACAGGGCAGGAATCTGATGCAGAAGCCATGGAGGGCTGCTGCTTACTGGCTTGCTTCCCATGGCTGGCTCAGCCTGCTTTCTTATAGAACTCAGAACCACCAGCCCAGGGGCGACACCACCCACAATGGGCTAGGCCCTTCCCCCACCAATCACTAATTAAGAAAGTACTCTACAGGTTGCTACAGCCCAATCTTACAGAAATATTTTCTCAGCATTTCAGAGGCCTCCTTCCCCTCTGATGACTCTAGCTTGTGTCAAGTTGACATAAAACTAGCCAGCACAGGGCCCCAGGGGGTATAGTGCAGTAAAGGGTCACTGACACTCAACACCCATTCAAACTCATCTGGAAAAGGGAAAGATACCCCAGAAGGCAGAGAAGCCTAGGCATACTTTCAGAGATGTTCATCCTTGAGGCCAAAAGGCATAACTGAATAACAGCAATGGTGAGCGTAGGTGTTCCAATGCGGTATCCAGCATGGTACATACTGGGATTGCTAGTCCCTGGTCTCAGGTCTCTGAGTGAGGGAAAGACATGCAGGGAGGGTTCAAACCTGCCACTTGTACTGTGAACAGTTCCCCTAGTGACTATTAATGTGCTTCTGTCTGAAATTTTCTTGAGGACTACTGAGATGTCTCTTCAGGTATTGGCTTGCTGTGGAGACCTGAGGACCCGAGTCTGACCCTCAGAACCCATGTAAAGGTGGAAGGAGGGAACTAGCTCCACAATCCCTCTGACCTCCACACTTGGGTCTGTGTGTGTGCACATGCTCATGCACACGCCAATGCACGCACCAATAATAGTAATAATAATACTACACAACAATACAGTGTCCTTGATGTTGAGGGGTCCTGCTCAACCCCCACACTTCACATTCAAAGCATTAGTGCATCCAGTCTGGAAACAATCCTCGGAATGAATGATGGCCCCACTTAACAGAGGTACAAAGAAGAACTGTAACCCACCACCTCCTGCTGAGATCCTGGCCCTGCTGCAGCACACTGCTCTTGTGACCCTAAACAAGTTGGGACCTTCTCTGGACTTTGCTTACCTGTTCTGTAAACAGAGAGGTAGGAAGCCAGCTTCCCTGGCTTCTGGGAGGGTTAAAATCTCTCTGCACAGTGGCTGGCATGATCACACATCAGCAAACCTTTCCTAAAGCCCAGTAGCCAGCAGACCCCACATTATTTGAAAGTATACAGCATCCCCGTTTCTCTCCTACAGTCCCACCCCTTAAGTTGGAGGAGGGGCCAAGTTTGGGAAAGACTGGCTGTCCCTTTGTGCACTGTGCTCCCTGGGTGTTCAGGGAAGGGGTGGGGGTGGGAACAACCCAACGTGTTCCATTGTAGTACAAGATGCCTCTTCCTCTCCATAGCAACCAGCAATCCTCTGCTGTGGAGTGGCTGGGATGGAGGGGCCCAGCTCAGAGCCTGGCAGGGGTGGCATCAGGTCTGGTCCAGAACTTTCATCTCCTCCGGGATGAAAATTAGCTTTCAAGTCACAAAGTCCCTGGCACCTCCATTTGCTCAGTCAGCTCTCGGTACTGGTGTTTGTAGAGAAGGCACAGGGAAACGGCCCCTGAGAGCCTGTTGAGGGTCTGGGGGAATATACACCTGTTTGCCCACCTCACAGTCCACACGCATGTACAATCCTGAGCGTAAATGCATGAAAGTTAATGCAGGCCTGCTGGTGTACACAACTGGTGTATGCAGGCGAGTGCCGTGTATATGGTGACACACAGTAGGTTCATTAGCAAGTTTACCAGTGAGTTCACAGGGGAGACCTGGCATGTGCCTGTGGACACCTGTCCTGTTGTAGTGTGTCTCCTAGTCCCTGCCACACATCTGTGTAGCTGTCATGGGCATCTGTGTACTGCGTGTGGGAGAGATCCAGAGTGCACAGCCCAGAACCTCATGCCTTAAGAAGGTACAGAGTTGCCTGGTTTCTCCACCCTCATTTGACTCAGGTACCAGCTTCTAGGTCCCTCCCCTCCCCTCCCCAACCTTCATTTGGTCTCCTCCCTAAAACACAGGTCCTCGCTATACCCAGGGTCCTCATCCTCCCTCTTTCCCCAGAGGAAGAGGCAATAAAGGCTTTGTATGCAGGCAGGGGGAATGCCACTGGTGGGGTTCACGGATTGCAGGGGAAGCCAGGCCCTCCCTACTGTCCTCGTAACTATAGCGACCAAGCCAAAGCGTCCTCCAGACCCCCCAGTAGGAATTCCAGGCTCAGTGCTGAATGCACTTGGACAAAGCCAACGCACTGGCTGCCTGGGCTGGCTTCAGGGAGCCCTTCCAGCATAGTTGAGGAATGCCAGAGACCTGCTGCAGGGGACACACACTTATGATCCCAAATCCCTAGCCATCCCAGAGACCCAGAACAGCTCTACTGGTCGCCCCTCAAGTGCCGGCAGAGGACCCATAGAAGGGAGCCATGTGGGCAAGCCTTCCCCCAACCCTAGTTCTCTTCCCCCTCCCCTAGCCTAACCTAGCCCCACCCACCCACCCACACCTCCTGTTGCCAGGAAAGGCCAGTTGAACATGCCGGACAACTTACAGCCAGTTCAGCGAGGACACAACTCTCAACAATCAATCCCCTCAGACAGAACTTCCACCCTCCGTGCAACTTTACATGTCACCTGCACCCCGGGTCAACACATGACTCCGGCAGACCCTATGGTGACTGCCTGAGTTTGCTAAAACTTCTCCAGTTCACGCATTTCCATCTCTAGCCCGGCGCGCTTTCCCTAAGTAGCACCTCACACCAAACTCCCCAGCTTTTCTCTAAACACACTACACCACACCACGCCAGCTCTCCCAGATCGGCTCTGCAGACCACACCAGCCCTCAGCCTCCTGGCCCCACTGCATAGACTCCTCAGTTTGAAGCTACCAGAACACTCCGAGCTCTCCAAGTGAGTTCTTAAAACACCCCCACCGTCCCCACAAGTTCTAGGGCCCGGGATACTCTTCCCTCTAGCACTACCACTCTCTCAGGCCAGCCCACCCACACTCAGGCCCAGCCACACTCACCAGCCGGCACCCAGGGCGGCAGCAGCAGCAACAGTAGCAGCAACAGGAGGTAGACATCTCGTCTAGGGTCCCAGATCACAGGCCCCAGCAGCGCCATGGCAGCCGGCTCTGTCTGCCTGTGGGAACCCTCTGCTCGGCGGGCTCCGCGCCCCTTCGTCCCTCCAACCAGCACTGACGAGGTGGACAGAGGCCCGGCCCCTCCTCCAGCCTTCCCCCTCCGCCCCGCCTCCCACTGCTCCTCCCGGGGCAGGATCCTCGCGGAGGGTCTGACCCACCGCTCCTCACAGACACCAGCCCCTTCGGAGGCCTCAGCTCCAGACAAGGCCCTGGGCCTGACCCTGGGTCTCAGTGCACAAGCCCTCTTGCCAGGCCGTCCAGTCCATGGGGGCAGCCAGGATTCCTGGGGCTTGTCCGACTTCCCGCAAGAGCTCAGCTACCCTGCAGTTGCAGGCCTCGGTCCTCCCGCCTTGTTTCAGCTCAGAAGCACTCCCATCCGTCCTTACTTAACCTGCTCCTTCCACACCTGAGATAGCAAGGCCCCTCCCCTCTCAGTGGGGCTCCTGTCCCAGCTGCCCGCTGGGTCCCAACCAGCCACACAGATCCTGTCCTTGTAGCTATCACACTGGGCCCTGGACCACGTGCCTCCTGACTCCCTTCTACCCTTCCCACAACCTCACCGGCCAAACGGAGCCTTTTCGTCTCCCCGTTTGCCCTTGATCTTTGTCTCTGATGTTCGCAACTTTAGAAATGCCCCTGCTGTGCAAGTAGGACCTTGGAAACAGTGCTCTGATGCTGTTCCCATTCTCCTTCGTGAAAAGTCCTTCTCTTTGTCTAACCTCATAGTCGCATGTGGCACTGGGTGGAGCCAGGAGTTCTCATCATCTCAAAACACACTGGCACATAAAAAAAAGCACCTCTTCTTCCATGGCCTGCTCCCCCAACTGGGGCAGGGTCTCCTTTTAAAGGGACCTACCTCCTTGAAATGAGCTCCTAATAGAGGACACCGTCTGGCCCAGGTCAGTGATGGTGGATTCTACTCTGAAGGCCCTGGCTTCTGCTATGTTTGGCAAAGCTGCGATTGGGGCTCTGGCGTGTCCTTGGGGAAACATCAGGAGGGACAATGAACATCACAGGGTATCAGTAGCCAGTAGTCACCAAGTATCACCAGCCCAGAGGACTGCCAGTTCCCCTGGGTCCCCAGAGCTCAGGAAGGGACTGAACCTGTGGGCCCGGCTGACTAGCCCTGTCCCCACCCTGCAGCCATCCCTCCAGGATTAGAGACCTGTCCTGTTTTCTGGGACACCCTCCCCTGTTGTCTCTTGACCTGGGACTCCTATCACTAGTCTTGAGGAAGTCATGCTCCACTCTTGGGGGAGCACAGCTAAACAGATCGGCACCTAAACCCCACTGAACGACCTGGGGTTACTCGCTCTGAGTCTATTGTGTCATCTGTAAAATAGGGGTAACAGCTCCAGCCTCAGGAGACTTTACAGGACAGTTGTACTTTGCTCCAGGGATCTGAATGGTGCCAAGAATGTTAAATAGCAGGACTCTGGGGGTGCACAGTAGGGATGGGAGATAGGGTACTGGGCTGTGAAAAGGAGCAGACAGGGACTTGTTCACCCTGGAGCCCAAGCCCCAGCACTAATCCCAAAGCTGCCACCTAGTGGTCCTGTGAGGAATGCAGTGAACAGAGTGTGCCAGGAGCATGGGCTGTCATAAGAGGCCAAGGAGTCCAGGGACATATCTGAGATCAAGAGCTGGCTGCTAGTGGTTGACTTGGGAAAACTGACACATCAGAGAGGAATACAGTGGTGAAGGCACAGATACCAGTTCAAATCCCCAGAACCCACTTTCCAGCGTCAAGACCTTGGGTAAGTCACTAAGTCACTTAGTGTCTCTGAGCCTCATTAACTTCCAAGTTTAAAAAAAAATAAAGAAAGGAATAATAGCCCTCAATAGATAGAACCGTCTTATGGGTAAACTGTGTTTAAGGATTAAAGTGTTTGAAACAGCCAAGCAAGTGCTAGTTAAGAATGAGAAAGCAATTTAAAGCTATACATATTTCAAATTGGAAATAAATTTATTGGCTCACTGGGGAACGTAATGAAATAAGAAATTTGCTTTTACCCATAGAATCCTGGAATGTGACAGCCACCTTTCAAAGCCAAGAGATAAGCAGTGTGTCCTGTCACAATTCAAATGCATAAGTGCTTCTGTGGTAGGTGTAGGTATATACTTCCCCAAAGAACAATAATTCAGTATGCTTCCAAAAGAGACAAGGAACCATCTTTCTGCAACTTGTCTGGTGGTTGTATTTCTAAAACTCTCTATTAGTAACAACTATTGTTTTTGTTTTGTTTTGTTTTGTTTTGTTTGAGACAGGGTTTCTCTGTGTAGCCCTGACTGTCCTGGAACTTACTCTTATAGACCAGGCTGGCCTTGAATATACAGAGATATACCTGCCTTTGTCTCCCAAGTGCTAGGATTAAAGACATGTGCCACTACTGCCTTATCCCTAGAAAAGCCACTTGGTTCTCTGGGCACTGCCCATCAAAAATAACACTCCAGGGGCAGAAGAGATGGCTCAGTGGTTAAGAGCACTGGCTGCTCTTCCAAAGGGTTTGGGATTGATTCCCAGCATGCAAATGGCAGCTCACAATTAATGGTTTAGAAATCCAGTTCTAAAAGATCCAGCAGTCTCCTTTGGCCTCCACATGAAGCAAGAAAAATACTCATAAACATAAAATGATTTTTAATTATTATTTTAAACAGCACTTCAAATGAAAGGTCCATGGGAAATTCCTAAGTCGGATGGTCTGCAGTCTGTCCTACAGACACATCACCCTGAATTTAAGCCCCACTAACTGCCAGAGGCACCCCTGTCTCACGATCATCAAAAGACCCAGCAAAGGGCCATGTTTGGAAGTGAGCTTAATTAGCATGCTTGAAGCCCTGGCTTCTACTCCTAGCACATAAGCAGGGTGTGGTGGTGAACACATGTTATTCCACCACTTCTGAGGTGGAGGCAGGAGGATTAGAAATTCAAGACTATAAAAATTTCCCTCTAGCACAAGGTAAGAGGAATGGGTTCTGTGCAAGCTGCCAGAGGGCTTTTCCCAACTGGTAATTGTGTCTATGGCCTGTTAATCCTAAGCCCATGGTTAGCCAAAGCCAAGCTGTACCAGTGGTCCCCTGCCCTACCTCACATCTCTTCTTCCTCCCCCAGTGACTGTGACAAAGATAAAGGTAGGGGTTGCTTCCAGGTGTGCTCACCCCAACTTAAATGACATGTCACCATGAAGAACTTCTGACACCTTGCTGATGCTTTATTGCTTGGTTCTAGATTCACCCTAAGGAAGAGTTCAGATCCTCATCCAGACTTGACCAGAGCCTCCACAGGCCTTGCATGGACTGTAGTCACCAGTGTAGACACCTGTCAAGGCTCCCCTGAGAGTCACTCAGTAGTCACTGTTGCAGTGGTGAAGAAGGCAAACATACGGAAAGCGCAGGAAGGTATTGACTGAGAGCCCATGGAGCCCCAGACAGACATGAACTCTCTGGAGGCAAGGGTTGGAACCATGAAGTATGAATAGGAGTTTTCCAAGTGAAGAAGCAGAAACTACTACAGCTGGCTAAAATCCAGGCTGGGCGAATGTCAGTAACGACAGAATCTGAGGCTATCCAGCATTGGCCGAAAGCAGAGTGAGACAAGAATGGAGTCAAGAGTGGGGCTGTTGGTGCAGAGCCTGAAGGTACCAAAGAAGTTAAATTTGGTCCTAGGGCCACAAGGGGGAGCCTGGGTAAAGGATAAAGCTGAAAATGGCGTGGTCAATTGATATGGGAAGGTTGTGGAAGATGTGTTGCACGGTAGGACCTAGAGAAACGGGGAGACGTCTGGGTTGAGACATTGGGTCTCTGTGGGGATTGAGAAGGAGGAGACGGCAGGAGCAGAACCAAGACTTCTGTTAGGTAAATCATAATGATGAGGGTAGGGGCAGGCGTGGCGAGAGCTAGCCCCTTGACTTGAGGAAGAGGACCAAGATAAAGGACAGACTACAGGTTCCCATTTCGTCACCAGAGGGCGCTCCAAGACAGCAAGGGGGCACTCCTCCCCAGTGTGAGTTCAATAGACTCATTGTTCTGCAGTGGGATTTGCGTGTGGGGACTGACCTTCCTGGGGTAGAGGTGAAGGGAGGCAGAGGTACAGAGCTGCAGGCAAGTTTACAGCGTCCCTTTCTACCTTGCTCGGGCGTGGAGTGACTCACCAAGGTCGCCTCAGGGTCAGATCCAAGCAGTCCCGCTGCCCCTGTCGGGGAAGAAAGGGACTGCAGCGCCCTACATCGGATAGACTAGAGGAATAGGCTCACCCTGCAAGTTCCGTAAAAAGCATAGGTGGGCGTTTCCCACAAGAAGCTTTATATACCCCTCCCCACCTCTCAGTATTCTGGGTCTTGGAGTGGTAGCTGTTTGGGGCTGGGCAAGGTATTTGGGAAAGTGGAGATACTGACTCCTAGCCCAGTTCGGTGAAAGAACCTTGAGTTGGTGAAGCTCAGGTTGTGTTTGGAGTCATGGCTAAGTGTCTCAGATCCAGGTTCAGTAAAGGATTCAGTAATCCAGTAATCCAGCAGTATAAGCTGGAAGTTATACGACATTTGTGATTCTGAACCCTGCACTTGCATCTTTTTTTTTTTTTTTTTTTTGGTTTTTCGAGACAGGGTTTCTCTGTGTAGCCCTGGCTATCCTGGAACTCACTCGGTAGACCAGGCTGGCCTCGAACTCAGAAATCCGCCTGCCTCTGCCTCCCAAGTGCTGGGATTAAAGGTGTGCGCCACCACCGCCCGGCTGCACTTGCATCTTAACATCAAATGTTCCGGTGTGCCTGCACTTGCATCTTAACATCAAATGTTCCGGTGTGCCGGCCACCTGCAGAAGAACCAGCTTTCCTCACCCTTCCCTCTCAGGCCTGCAGCGGCAGATGCTGGACTGATAATTGCTAGAGTGCAGTGCGTCCTGTCAGACAGGCGGATGAGAAGCAGTTAACCTGAGGGATAGACTCGAGGCAAGGGAGCAGAGCTCCAGGGCTGAGGGGGCCTCA